GTTCAAATGAATTACCATGCCAGCCGAGCATTACCATGGCGTTCTTTCTTTTTAATTTGACGGCGTAAGCTCTGGTGACTGCCCCGCATACACGATCGTAGCCGACCACGTGGCGAGGCCATGGTGGCCGTGGCAGCAGACCATTTCCAGGTTTAACGACTAACTGCTATAACATTGTCACGCGAACAGAGTGGCGGCAGCTCCGGCGGCGCAATGCTCTCGGGGTAGCGCGAGCATGATCCAGCCATGGAAGCTCTCAATGGCGTCAAGAAGAGGCATTTCAGGGTAGAGGGTTTCCAGTGGCCCTTCTCGCGCGTGGCTATGGAGTGGAGGCCTGGCGCCGGCACCGCCAAGCGCAAGAAGATCTCCAGCGACATCAATGTCGCCACTCCTCCTCCTCCTCCTTTACTTCCTCACCCTTCCTCACTCCTCTCCCTCCGGCAGCTCAATCACTCACCACCACCGCACGATCCAAACTTTCTCCGCGCGCTCCAGGCCAATGCTCTTCGGACAATGTCGGTGAATGGGAAGGGCTTCCTATCGAATCCTTGGTCGAACAGGGCAGCTTGGTCCAGGGTCGGGTCGAAGAAGGATCACGGTGGGGATTTGATGAACAAGAAGAGGCAGCTGGAGCTGTGGGACTTGGCGGGGTTCTCTCGTGAGAAGTTAAAGCTTCTCAATGAGATTGAGGTGCTCATCGACTCGGAGGAGAATGCTTTGAACATGGAAGCTTCTGCTAAGGTTGGTCGAAGGCTCCTTCTTTCTTGAGTTTAGACCATCGTTTTATTTCTTCTTTCTTCTTTATAGGCCGCGGAAGGACGTCTTCGAAGCTTGCTGGATATCTGCGTATGCTCTCAATGCCAGGAGAATATAGAGAACAGGATAGCTCTACAAAGCGTGAGAACCAAAGGTTTGGACGATGGCAAGGTTATTTCAGCAAGAACGAATGTAGCGACTGCAAAGCAAGAGGATCAGACAGCACCAGCGCTGGAAGGTCCCAAAACCACGAAGGTGACACTTAGATATAGTTTTCTAGGTCGGAAGTATTGATTTGGTTGCGTGTTCTCAGCTTCCAGAATCTCTCGAAAAGGAAAGAGAGAAGGAGAGGCGCTTCTTTCTTGGAAATGTGAAAGAAGCCATGGAGCGTGACCGGGTTGCGCTTGACAACTTTCTGCAGAAGCAGAGGCTCAAGCATGAAGTGTCTAAGCAGAAACTTGGCGAGGTGAAGGGGAGCTTTCTTGGGAAGTATCTGAGCTTTCTTGACAACTCACTGGACGATGCTCTCCAAAAGGACGATTTAAGCGACAAGCACGACCAGGTTTTCAAGTCTTTTACGTGTTGCTTTATTTGATCTCGAGGTCTCACTTTAGATTTCCTGTGTTAGGATTCAGAAGGTTTGGAGGATCCTTCCAAACTTCGCAAGGATTAAACTCCTGAGCTGGAACGATCTTCTGAAAAGTCAGATGATCGTACCGAAGAATCATTTACAACTAGAGAAGCTGGACGACAACCTCATGACGTTTCGCTTAGCACAGACGCGAAAAAGCTTCCGGAGACAATTCACAAGCGTCTGGACAAGAACAAGCACTTCCAGGAGATGCTATCCGGACGAGAAAACTCGCACGATCATCAAAGACAGAACGTTAACGGGCTGGAGCACATTACAAATCGGGAGTATTCTTGCAGCTGCAAGAGTCCGTGGGAGATGAGGCCCCCGAGAATTTTCAACTTCACCAGAAAGACGACGTCGAGAGTGTTGCAAACTTCTGGAGAGCTTGATATTGGGAGTCTTGAGGAAACTGCAGGGAATAGAACAGCCTACGAGGGGTTTCCTCAAGGCTACTCGTACATCTACGTCTCTCCACCTTTCGAGACGTAAGCTCTCGCAACAATGGGGCGATCCGATGCTCGAAGAGGCTGACCGACGCAAATCCGCCGCCCCT